TGAAGGTGAGAGCGTTGGGGATTTTGTGGCAGACCTGAGGAACCTGGGTGGTTTGTGTGGCTTCGCCAACCTCGAAGAAGCCATGAGAGATCGCATCGTCCTTGGCCTCAGAGACCCCACTGTCCAGAGCAAGATCATGGCCAAGGGGGACATCTCGCTTGCAGATGCCATAGCAGACGCCACAGCAGCCGAAGCCACTCATAAATCGGCAGCACGAATGCGTCGAACCAGCGGGACCAACCGCCAACCCACCAACGATGCTGGGAAACCTTCAGACAAGTACACATCAACCACCCATCACGAAGACGTCGAGTCATCCTCAGACAGCGAGGAAGAAGAAGTCCACAGGCTCCGGTCAGAACGTGAGCAACGGGACCAGCGGGGTCGCAAGTCCAACTACCAATGCGCCGGATGTGGGGGAAACCACCCCCGATCCGAATGCTGACTATTACAAGGTATAAAAGGGGTCGTGCCTGGCGGGCGACAAACCTACTCCACACATTCTCTCCCCAGAATGATGCGATGGTCAGAATTTCTCGCCGCCTACGACTATCAATTAAAATACCGCCCCGGGAAATCTATTCCCCACGCAGATGCCTTGAGCTGCTCACCTCTACCCGAGCCACAGGAAGACCCAGCTCCCACACTCCCGGTACTGCAAATAGAGACAATGCCATCGCCTCCACTAACGGCTCAAGACATCGCCTTTGAAACCAAAAAAGACTCTTGTTTGGCACGAGTTCTTGGCTGGGTGGAGAGGGGATGGCCAGATTACGACACTAAGGAACTGTTTAAGCCGTTTAAAAACAGACAAACGGAACTTTTTTCACAAAAAGGGTGCGTTTTGTGGGGAGACCGAGTTGTTGTACCAACTAAGTTACAAAAAAGGGTCTTGCAAATGCTACACGATGGACACCCGGGCATCGTGCGTATGAAAGCGCTGGCAAGAAGTTATGCCTGGTGGCCTGGTATAGATAAACAAATTGAAAACTGGGTTGCCTCTTGTAACAAATGCCAGGAAAACCACTCAGCTCCACCTAAAGCCCCACCAACAGAATGGGAAACACCCAGGGGTCCTTGGTCTCGCATTCATATTGACTTTGCGGGACCTACGAGAGGCCACACCTTCTTAATAACTGTTGATGCCTACTCAAACTGGCTTGAGGTCAATAAGATGAAAGCAACCACTACTGAGGCGGTCATTAAAAAACTGAACAGACTCTTCGCCACACACGGGTTACCAGATGTCCTGGTCTCTGACAATGGGCCCCAATTTACTGCCTTAGCCTTTGAACAGTACTTAGCGGAACGGGGCATCCGACACACACTCACATCGCCGGCTCATCCTGCGGCGCATGGCCGGGCTGAACAAATGGTTCAGTTTACAAAGAAAACCCTGCAGAAAATGGATCAAGGCAATATCCACGACAAAGTCACTAGAATGCTGCTCCTACAACACATCACACCAAACAGCACGACCAACAAGTGCCCAGCTGAACTCCTGATGGCCAGGAAACTCAGATGGCCTCTAGATCATTTGCACCCTGCCTACACCCTGGAAAAGCCCCTGGGTTCCAGCAGCAAGCACCATGTTTTCAAGGTAGGAGACCTTGTTTTCGCAAAAAAATTTTCTGGGGATCCCCTTTGGATTTCTGCCCAGGTAACTCAAGTTACGGGCCCCCGCTCCTACCGTCTACTCACCACTGATGGCAGACCATGGAAACGCCATATTGACCAACTGCACTCCAGACTAACCACATCTTCCAACCCTGACCCTAACTTTGACACTAGGGGGGGAGGGGAAGCAGTGAACTCAGAATTAGAACCAACACCTGTCTATTCTGAGCTATCACCGAGATCACCGCACCATGGTTGGCAACACTCACCAGCTGCAACTGAGACTGGACAATCGAATGCTTCACCAGGAAGCAGCATCCAGGCAGGTTCAGCGAGCCCCGGGACCCAGAACAGCAACAGTGAGGCTGAGGACTTCATCACCCCGGAGGCACCAGAGGAGAGCCCTGACCATGACACCGGTTCACCGTTCCCGTTTGATCCAGCAAGCAGTCCATCTGAACCCGGGTTTGAACAGGGTCAAGCGGAACTGTGTAAGTCAGGCAGACAGGTGCGAAGACCTGTTTACCTGCGAGACTATATTACTCCACCCCTTAAATGGAACCGAGAGGGGAGGGGTGTTCCAGACTAGCAGGCTTGTAGCCTGCAAATCTGATTGGCCCGCTGAAAGCCGATCGTGATTGGTCGCCATAGACTGATGCGATTGGCCAGTAAACGGGTTGCCGCGATTGGCCCTGCCAAGAGCGGCAAACTCAAATCGCCTTCATTGGCTGCCTAGCTGCAGCCAGCCCTATAAAAGGGGCTGCTGCGGCTGGGTTTAGTTGCTCAAATCTGAAGTCACAAATAAAGAGCTGTTGTTGCTATCTGAGTCTTGCCTCCGTTCTCGAACCGTCCTCCCAGATTTAACAGCTTTCATTTAATTTTTTCCTCAGCATTTCTGTGTATTTGCTTTAAAGTCCATTTAAAGTGTGCTGCAGCAGCTGAAAAAGCCAAAGCAGTTCTAGGCTGCATTAACAGAGGCGGTGGTGGGATTTAGCCGGTTCAGGCAAACCGGTGGTTAAAATTCTGGCTGGCCCCTGCCCCGCCCTACCCACCCCGCCCAGTCACTCCATATCCTGTCTGCTCGCCCACATAGCTGCTGCTGTTCTCCATCTGGCTCTCTAGCTTGCCTTGACCACAGGGTCTCTGAGGAAGAAAGAAAAAGAGAGAGAAATATGAGAGAAAGAGAGAGGGAGAAAGAAAGACACACACAAAATACCTGTTTAAAAGAAAATAGAAACATGGCTCTCTGAGTGTTTAAGGTTGCAGATCCCTGGGTTAGGCAAACATCATAGTCATTAAGTGAACCTTGTGGTCATTAAATGAACACTGTGGTTGTTAAACAAGTCCATTTTCCCCAATGGGCATTTTTAACTGGAAACCAGAAGGAATTGTTGGAAACTGGCAAAAAACAGAAAACCTCAGTCACATAACTGTGTGATGTTGTAACTGGTCGTGTGTGTGTGTGTGTCTGTGCATGGCTGTCAAAACTCCCAAAACAAACGTGGCTTGTCTACAGACACATAACAGGGTTGCTGCCTTTAGGCTGTCGTCCGTGATCTGGTTAGCCTGAAGATAGTTGTCTACTTGGGAGACGTATGAACTCCACTGTTCCAGGTAAGTAATGTCGAACTCATTGAGGCTTCCCATTTTAGCCATTTTGAGAAGGGCCTTGTAGTGCCTGTCCTGCTGTGGGTGGAGCTGGGTTGTACTTAGGAGTCCTGCGGACGGATCTCTCAGGTGCGTTTGTGCCTCCAGTGTTTCTTACTGGCAGGCAGGGTGGGGAGCATGGTCCCACCAGGATTTTTTACCTGGTCTGACAACCAGTAATTTCAGCATGTCTTCAGTGTGTCTTACTGGTGGTGTGTGTGTGTGAGGACTAATCCTGCCAGGGCTTCGTCACCCAGCCTATCACCCAGTGACTTCAGTTAGCAGCAGCTCTCTCCCCTGCAGCATCCCATCTTTCTCGCCACTATTGTGTAGTGGGCTTTAGTAGGCAAGAACCAGACCAGCATAGCTGCAACAGCATTTATTGACTCAAAACTGGAACTGAGGAACTGCAGGCAGAAGCCTGTGATTTATACTCTAGGCCCACAGGGCCTTAACCAGTCATAGAACTAGAACAAGCCTGCCCAAATATAAATGTTCTAAATTTTCCTCCAAAACAGTTGGAGCTAACAGTTAGGGTGATCTAAAGGTTAGTTTCACTTTAACAGTTAACACAACTATATACATTTAATACATAACAAAGACATTTACACAAACTCTAGGTGATATCATAGCAAATCATGCAACCCCCCTCTCCTTTCCTATATACTTGGCTGGACATTTTTATAGAGGTTGCTTAGTGTATGCTGAATTAGAATGAGCTTCAATGACTTTTCATTCATTTATGAATCACTGATATTGTTTTCTGAGAAAACATTTTGAAATAATAAAGAAAAATCTTTGAGCCGTATTTTGTAAAGGGTATTATATTATATAATCTAACAACTCAGCAAATCTTGTTTTGGAAATGACTTTACTGATTTTGTCTAGGTAAATTAATATAAGAGCTACAGCATGGATTTAGGAAAGTGCTGAATGCATTCATAATCCATTTCAGAAAATTTAAATTCAGAGTAAAAGTAAACTTCCTTATGTTTACATGTGCAAATCATGACAGGAGACCAGTCTCCATTGCATCTTATTACCAGGGATGGGATTCTACCTGGTCGGACTGGTTCTATAGAACCAGTTATGATTCTGCCCAGTTTGGAGAACTGGCAAATCACGCCACTGGCTGGCCCTGCCACACCCACTCACTCCTTACCTGGCATGCGCGCCATCCAACTTGCCTGGGTTGGGTAAGTTGCTATTTTTCCATTTTTTCCCCTGTTCTGCTGTGCTGGGAGATATAGATTAGCTAGAAAGCAGGAAATTGTTGGATTTCTTGCTTTCTAACTAATCTAAAAGCAGAGCTGAACTCTCCTTAGGACTGAAGTTTCTATTTTCAGAGCAGACTCGGGTAGTAGATTGCAGAATGGTAGATCTCTGAGTAAATCTGTGATTCTGTGAGCAACTCAATCTGCCTGCCTGCTTTGCCTGATTTTGGGTAAAAGTTGCTCTTTTTTTAATAAAAAAATCAATGTTTACATAACGGTGTGTTATGAGTTAATTTTGTGAGTTTGCTTGCTAGCAAATTTTATGTGACAGACTCAGGTAGCAGATTGCAGAATGGTAGATCTCTGAGTAAATCAGTGATTCTGTGAGCAACTCAATCTGCCTGTCTGCTTTGCCTGATTTTGGGTAAAAGTTGCTCTTTTTTAAAGAAAAAAATTAATATTTACATAAATATTTACAATATTTATATACAAGCCATGCCCACCCAGTCACATGACCACCAAGCCACATCCACAAATTAGGCCACGCCCACAGAACCAGTTGTTAAGAAATTTGAATCCCACCCCTGCTTATTACAATTTAAAATTACACTACTGTAGTATCAGTCTTATGCAAACCATACTCCTCAGAGTCTGTGTTTCCCCATGCTGGATCTCAGCATTAATACACCTTCTACAGAATCTCCAGGACAATCAATCATTCTTTGCCAAAGAAGTCGCTCTTCTCCTTGAGAATCCATCCAGTCAACTTCTTTGCCATTGCTTATACCTGGAATATTGCAAAGCATGTTGGTCAGCTGATATTTGTTTTTTACATCAGAGGTTCATAACACATGATACTCCAGATTCACCAGAAATACAGCAACTCTTATCAAACTGTCATCTTCGTTTCTACCATTGGTACAGTGTAAAATTTACGGTTTCATTTAAAATGAGCAATGAGCAATTTAGACTGGAACAAAAGCAACACAATGTAAAGACTTAATATCTTAATATTATGTTACAAACTGGAAGTTGTTGCCCTTAAAAAATAATTCCCAGACAATTCTTACAAGAATAGTGGAATGGAGAATGAAATACCTTGAAAAATAATTCGAAAAACCTATTTGACTCTGCCATCTTATTTTTGTATTAATTATAGGACAAGAACTCAGCAATCCTTTTTATTAGGAATCTAATCAGATTTATTTGCTTCTTGTATTATTTTACTATTTATTTATTCTTTTTAGCTTTGCCTTTGAGGCAAGTATCAGAATGGGTTATCATAAATATTTTTAATTCAAAGACAGACAACTTTTTCTGGGTCAGCAAATGAGTGGGGATTTATTGATATATTTATCATTAAATTTCTATCCTGTCTTTCATTCACAAGCTCAAGGTAACATATATTATAGCTTTCACTTATTTTCCTCCACAGCAGAGTTGGGCTGAGAATAAGTGAGTGGTCCAAATTCAACCTCCATGACCAAGCAGGGTCTAAAATCTGAGTCTTCTCCCTCCCAATCCAGCACCTTAAGCATGGAGGAGTGCATTTAAATTCCCCAAAACCCTGTATTTCCATTTCCCACATTTTTTCAATATATTTTCAAGAAGATGTGGAAAGTTTCACAATGAGCCAAAGGCTGCAAGAAAAAGAGCTAAACAAGTACTGATATCCATTTCTAAATATATTCTAAATATTTCAATTTTACTCCCTTTCAATTCCATTCTATCAAAGGGTAGATCTATCCACACCTACCACTTCCAATACTCAAACGAACACCACCCAGGAAAATGTTGCTGGTGAGAGGCTCCTTGTCCCAAACAGTGAGTTCTACACAGACATTGTATATATCTCTAGGGTTCAAGCCACTAAAACTGAATATATGATTCCAGTGCGGATTCACACTCTTTTTTATTACATGGGTTTTATGCTTTGAAGATTTGTTGTCAGGAAGCAAGTATCTAAGAGAGAAAAGGAAGGGAAAAAAATAAGAATATGGAGGTTTGTTATGAATGTCATAATTATAATTGAGAAGATACTAATTAAAGTATGAATCCAACCCATTTTTAAAATGTGGCCACTGGCACATCACTCAACAGCTATGTGTAATCTACAGTCCTTTCCTCAGAGGAATAAACCACAAAAAAGATTTATAATAAGAGTTGGCCACTGCAAGATTCATTGAGCCCTTTTTATTTGAAAATTTTTAACTTTCTTAAAACTAAAGTCTGACATGGAGCAATATTGTGATTTACAAATAATACATAGATAAGTTAAGAAGAACTTTGTTGTCACTGTACAAGTACAACAAAACTGTGGATGCACCCCAGCAACTGTTCGCTATACAATAAAGCCAGAGCACTTAAAGATAAAGATAAGAAAAGTAGAGTACCTGCGTCTCCATTTGCAATTAGAGAGTATAATATCGACGAATATACACAAAATATACATCCAACACTGACTATGAAGCTTTGCCGAGTGTAATACACAAGAGATGGATTGTACTGTAATATCGTGTTTCTCCAACAATACAACCCCTCCAATAGGAAGACCCAGCATGTTTTCTACGCATAAAATGAAATTAAGCCCCTCCCCCCAAATTTAGGCCTAGTTTAAAACGTGCAAAATTGGGGGGGAAGGTGGGGGGAACTTGCCATTAGGAGTGCTCTGTGGGCAGCTACACCTCACCATCAGCTGCTCCTAACACCATGGTGGAGCACGGAGGGCTCCCTTACCCCTCCCTTACCCAGGTCAGCAGGTGGGCAGCATCGGCATGGATGTCCAGCAATGTTTCAGCCACTTCTAAGGCCTCCGTAGCTTCCACGGTTTCCACCAGTGCTGGCGCCTCTCTTGCCAGCGCTATCTCCAACAACAGCGTCTGAGTCGCTCCCGCTATTCCCCTGGCCCCGTAACAACAGGAAAAAAAACATTTTGAGGTACCGGGTAGCACTGCATGCTGCGTTTTGGTTTAATCCCAAGTGGCTGGGTGGGCGTGAGAAGAGCTGAGCGAGCATCTCTGCTACCCTTGGTGCTCCAGCCTCGGGCTCTGCAAGTTTGCAAAAGTTCCAAGTGCCCAGGCTGAGTTGCAGCTGTCCCTCTCTCACGAGCACCGTCTCCAATAACAGCGGCAGCAGCGGTGGGAATCGTGGAAGCGTTTCAGCCGCTTCTTGGGTGGGGGAACTGCCTCCGTAACTTCCACGGTTCCCGCCACTGCTGCCACTGTTATTGGAGATGGTGCTGGCAAGAGAGGAACAGCTGCAGCTCGGCCTGAGTGCTTGGAATGCAGGAATGGGTTGCACACCGGGACTTTTGCAAACTTGCAGAGCCCAAGGCTGGAGCACCAAGAGTAGCAGCAGCAGAGATGCTTGGCTCTTCTCACGCCCACCCAGCCACTCGGGATTAAACCGAAATGCAGCGTGCGGTGCTACCAGGTACCTCAAAATCTTTTTTTCCTGTTGTTACAGGGATGGGGGAAAAGCGGGAGCAACTCAGACGCTGTTGTTGGAGACGGCGCTGGTGCGCGGGAGGGAGAAATTAATTCATCCTGAAAAGACGTCCTAGCCGTTTTTTTGGGCCTCAAAAAAAAAATAAGGCCCAGCCTTATTTTGTGAGAAACACGGTATGTTATTAAACATCTGAATGGGGTATTGCAATTTCACATCTTTTCACATCTTAATAAGGTAGTGACTTTGTATTTATTTGCAGTTTGGATGGCCCAAGGAAAGAAACTATTTGGTAGTCTAGTGGTGTGGGATTTTATTGACCTAAAGTGCCATCCAGATGACCGCAGGTCAAAAAGATAATTGCCAAGGTGTGAGGGGTCTTCTATGATGGCCTTGATTCTGCTTTGGCAGCGGGACCTGGCTAAGTCTTCCAGGGAGAGCAGAGGGCATCCAATGATCTTTTGAGCTGTGTTTATCACCCTCTGTACAGTTTTCCTGTCCTCAGCTGAGGAGCCTGCATACCACACACCCAGACAGTATGTCAGAGTGCTCTCCACAGAGGCTTTATAGAAAGCCAGCAACAGCTTCTTATCCAGATTGTTTTTCCTGAGAACCCGCAGGAAGTGCAGCCACTGTTGAGCCTTCTTCACTTTGGCCTTAGTATTAGGGGACCAGGAGATATCAGCTGAAATATGGATGCCAAGGAATCTGATCATAGGGACAGTTTCCACTCGTTCTCTGTTGATGATCAGTGGGACGTGGTCCTGTCCATATTTACTGAAGTCCATAATCAGTTCTTCGGTTTTATGGACATTCAGTGACAGATTGTTCTGTGAACACCAGACAGACAGGTTCTCTACTTCTGCCCTATATGCCGTCTCATCCTCTCCGGAGATGAGACCAATCACAGTTGTGTCATCCACAAACTTTATGATGGTGTTTGTTGCGTGGCTTGGTGAGTAGTCAAAGGTCTACAAGGCATATAGCAGAGGGCTCAAGACACAACCCTGGGGAGAACCAGTACTGAGTGTAATAGTGGAAGAAAGGTTGGGGCCAAGTCTAACAGACTGTGGTCTGTTTGTCAAAAAGTTATTAATCCAGGAGCATGTGGGGGTGGGGACCTGGAGATTATACAGTTTGGTTACTAGTATATCTGGGATGATAGTGTTAAACACAGAGCTGTAGTCCACAAAGAGCATCCTCACATAGCTCTGTTTGTTCTCCAGATGACTCAGTGCTCTATGAAGTGTGATGGCCACAGCATCCTCTGTAGATCAGTTTGCTCTATAAGCAAACTGATGTTGATCAAAGGAGGGCGGGAGGCAGTCTCTGATGCACTGTGAAACTATTGCACCAGAAATGCCATCAGGCCCTGCATCTTTCCTGGGATTTACTGCTCTCAGTGTTTTTCTCACCTCATGCACCTGAAGAGAGAGAGGTGCAGCATCATGGTCCTTGTGAGGCAGTATGTCCAGGTTCTTGGTATAGCAAAAAGCTGTTTAGCTCCTCTGCCAGAGTGCTACTGCTCTCACTGTTTGTTGGGCCCTGGCCTTTATAGTTGGTCAGGGCCTGTATCCCCCTCCACATCTGCCATGGGTCACTATTAGTAAAGTGGCCCTCGACCTTCCTCCTATACATCTTAGCATGTTTGATGCCCCTTCTCAGCTCAGCTCTGACAGTGCTGTACTGTGAGGTGTCACCTGCTGTAAAAGCCAGGTCATGGGCCCTGATCAGTCTGGACTTCGCTGGTCATCCAGGGTTTCCTGTTTGGGAAGGTCCATATGCATTTGTCCATAGTTATATAAACTTATTTTTAGATTATGATGTTAGCATGTAGTAGGTGGTGAATTATGAATTGGATGAGGACAGCAAATGCAAGATTATATTAGCTAACAGATTTAGAGATGCAATACTATATTCTGATATATGAACTATTATTTTTCCATTGAAAATATTCAAAATAAGGTAGAAGGAAGTAAAGGTGGAAAAGTTCTAAATCTTGCCACCTGATGGCCATGGGACATTTTTGAGAAACAAATAGATGATATAAGTGATTACTAGGACAATTGGGGCTGAGAATTCCATTGCTAAGCAATGCAATCATAAAGTGTGACATCACATTACTGGCTCACTTAGCAACAGCAATTCTCAGTTGCTGTCATTAAACAACAATCTTGTTAAGCAAGGCCCTCAAATGATTCCCTGTCAGCTTTCCCATTGTCTTTGCTTGTGAGAACATCAGAAATCACTGTCACATTTTTGCAGAGATGCTATGACAGCCAGAACTCTTTAGGACCTGTCATAACCCCCCTGTCATGCCTCTGTTGGAGTCTGAATCTGAGGAGGAAGGTGAACAGCTGACAGGGAGCTGGAGTGTGGCTCCGTTGGCTTGGAAGAAACTGGGCAAGGGCAAAGTCTGGCTGGGCAGAGCAGAAGAGAGGTAGAACAATGAAGAGGGAGTTCAGAGGAAGACCCAGGCCCATCCCCTCTTCATCCTAGGGCACACAGGGAGGAACGGAGAAGAGAGCAACATGGGTTGTGTGGCTTACGGGGGAGGAAAGGTTCCTGATTCCCTTCATTAGGCACACCTGGGAAGAGAGTTTAAAAGAGATGCAACCTAAGGAGCGGCAGCTGCTGGAAACAAACATGAGTTTATCTTGTGTTGACTTTGGTTATCTGTGTTCCTGGCATCCTCCCAACTGGGTTGAATTACTGCTGTTCTGTCATGTCTGGAATTCCTTCTCTTTCCCTGCTGGAAGTTCAATTGCCTTGATTGAACTTATAGTTACTGTTTTTGTTGACAACGTTTTGAACTTGAATCGCTGTAGCCAAAGGCTGTTCCTGGGAGAGTTTTTCTCCAGCCCAAAAGGTAACCAGAACATTGGGGGCAAAGTTGGAGCAAATAAAGGGACTCCTACTTATTATTTGACTGTGTTGCCTGTCAGCTATGGAATCCTTATTCATTGCTGCCACATAGCTTAAGAAAGTGGGTGGGGGGTGATATTGAGTAGCTATTAGTAGACAAAATATAATTCTTTTGATAGTTCAAGGTCAAAGAGTGTGGTGGAGAAAGAATTGGAATTTACTTTGGGATCAGTTCATGTGATGTGATGATGAGTAAAAAGGGGATGGTTTGTAGGTTGGGACATTGTGGGAAGTCCAGGAAACTTTTAGTTTCGGAATTCCACAGTTGTGCCAGGTGCTATTCTAATAAAAGTACTTTGCAGATTATGTTTGTCTTGGAGTTACTGACAGGAATGGATGTTCCCTGGAATGCTGACATTATTCCCTCTGATCAACAAAGTGTTACATCTGCACCTCATCTACTTGGATACATCCTTATATTCAGCGAAACCATCGAGGAACGTGTCAATTTTGTCAGACAAGTGCTGAAAAAACTTTTAGCTGCCAAGTTATATGTAAAACTGCCAAAATGTGAATTCCACAAGGAGTCACTGGATTACCTAGGCTACCAAATATCCAACCAGGGAATTGAGATGGACCCTGGAAAAATGAAAGCCGTGCTGGACTGGCAACCCCCCCAAAAACACAAAAGCAACTTCAAAGCTTTTGGGATTTTGCCAATTTCTATAGACAATCCATTCCTTCTTTCGCTGAGGTCACCCTCCCTTTGACAGAGTTATTAAAAACGGGGCCTTCCCCCATCAAACCGAAGCCCAGTCAACCCCTTGCTTGGACAATGGACTGTCAGAAACTTTTGAAACCTTAAAATGCCTCTTTGCAGCTGAGCTCATTCTCCAGCACCCAGACCTGACCAGACCTTTTATAATCCAAGCTGATGCTAGTGATGTGGCTGTCGCAGCCATTCTTCTCCAAAAGGACTCTCAGAACTGACTGATGCCTTGCGCTTATGTGTCCAAAAAGCTGACAGACACGGAGTGAAGATGGGTGGGCTTGGAGAAAGAAGCATTTGCAGTATGATTGGCTTTGTTGACTAGGAGATATTTCCTAGAAGGGGTGAAGGAGCTGTTTGAGGTGTGGACTGATCACAAGAACCTCAAATCTCTAAAGACACCTCGGAAGCTATCACCTAAACAAGTCTGCTGGGCTCAATATTTCAAGCAGATCAACTTCAACATGAAATATATCCCTGGAGGGAAAAACATATTGGCAGATGCCCTGTCAAGGAAACCCCAATTTGACAGTCGCCAAGAGGAAGTAGTGCAGACTATGATATCAGAAACTCAATCGGCAAGTCAAGTAATCACTTGAGGCTAAGCCAACTGCAACCCCAGATGCCTGGAAGGCAAACTGACAATTGAGTTGAAAGCAGCCCTACTGACCAATCCCTGGGTTCTGGAGCATCAAACTGAATTGACAATGAATGAGGGACTGGCTTGGAAAGGGACTAAACTTTATGTACCTGTAACTCTAAGACAAATGGTACTAAAGCGTAGCCATGACTCGTGGTTGGGGGGACACTTTGGTTTCTTAAAAACCCTACATTTAGTTAGAAGATAGTTCTGGTGGCCAAAAATGAAACCTGACATCAAGGACTATGTGAAAAGCTGCTCAATTTGTGCCATGATGAAACACAGAACTGAGAAACCCCCTGGCCTCCTCCAACAAGTAGCTGAATCAACACAGCTGTGGGAAGAAACTGCAATGGACTTTATCATAGAATTACCTGATAGTGGAGGCACTACAATCATTTGGACTGTTATTGACTTATTCTCTAAGCAGGTCCACTTTACAGCCTGTAAAAGACTTCCATCTGCAAAAAATGTTTGCAAAACTGTTTGTGAAGCATATCTATAGGCTACACGGAGTACCTTGTAGAATAATCTCAGACAGAGGGGTACAGTTTACTGCTAAGTTCTTGAGGGAGTTTTAAGGTCTATTGGGTCATTACAAAGGATATCAAAAGCAGGCAGACAAACATAGATCCCTCCAACCACTGTTTAAAGTAGGAGACAAAGTATATTTGTCAACAAAATATCTTAGATTGAAACTTCCTAGTAAAAAGTTGGGGCCTAAATTCTTAGGTCCATTTCCGATATCAAAAATAATCAATCCAGTCACAGTCCAATTCAGTCTTCCCTGGTTATTGGGAAAAATACATCCAGTGTTTCATAGTAGTTTATTAAAACCAGCTGTTACATCAATGATAAGATCAATACCAACCGCACCCCCAAACCTTTAATCGTACAGGGTGAGACACATTATGAGATCAAGAAAATCCTTGATTCTAGATTATACCAAGGACGATTATGATTTTTGGTATTGTGGAAGGGTTACCCTGGATCGGATGCTACTTGGGTTAAAAGTTGGGATGTAGATGCAGATAGGTTGATTAACAAATTCCATGAGGAATTCCCCAACAAACCGAAGGATCCTTTTGGAGGGGGGAGAGTGGGTTAAGGATATCACATTAACCTCTGGTTGTGTTTTGTTTCTTATTTTCTTATAGGAGCTGAAGTTCTCAAGGGGGGATGCCTGTCAGCTATGGAATCCTTATTAATCCCTGCCACATAGCTTGAGAAAGTGGGTGATATTAATTGAGTAGCTCTTAGTATGCTTATCTTGGAGTTACTGACAGGAATGGATGTTCCCTGGAACACTGACATTGCCTTTGTGCCACGCCCTGGGTCATCACCCCTCCCCCCCTTATTTAGTATCATAATTTTGAACAGTCACTAAATCAATGGTCATAATGCAAGGACTACCTGTAATCAATACAGGAATACTAAATGTCTACTACCATACATAGCCAAAGACAGAACGGAGGAAATCACCCTTTTACAAATGTATCTGAAGTGCCTCCTGATTTCACTGCCATTAAATTCTTGGCTTCCTTGATGACAATTTCCAATATGCCTCCTGATGGTGCTTGTGAGGTTGACTTCTTTTCTTTCTTTGAACTCTTCTTTCCTTTAGAAGAAGGAAAACAAGAATGGAGAAATATATGACTATATGAAGCTTCCATATTTTGCACTGTATCCTACCCTAAGATTAAAAATCAATACAAATCAAACCATGCCTCTTAACCAAGCACAAATATCTCTGTACTAATAAGAGTCAACATTTTACACTATGCAACCTTATCTACATTATTTGTCCCTCAATTATTTCAAATAATTTTTTTAAAATGCAGCTTTTCAGAAACACATATGCTCATTAAAAAATCTGTTCACTTAACATACCCCAGGCCAATACAATGAAATTTAAGTGAATACAAATGTTTTGAAGAAAAAAATAGCTTCTGTAATTTCTAATATGGACAGAAACCATGAAAAGGAGTTGTTCAAAATCTCTGCACAGACCACACAAAAGCCTGGATCTTGAGGTCTTGAGGGTTATATAACATAACATGAGTTCTTGCATGAGTATCTAGAATGGATTTATGATCCAAACCAGATGCAATTTCAACATATATTTATGGCCCAAGATAAATCACAATAAAAGTCCAGTATATAATCTAATAACTATAAAAGGAAAATTTTAAATTACAAATACTGTAAATCAAAAAACAATTAGCAGCTTATAGTTAATAGCATGAAGGAGGAATAGCATGAAGCATTTCTAACAGCTATGGGCTATTGATGAAATTTTGCAACCTTCTTAGAGGTTTTTGAAGAATGGTTACTTAGGAGAAGGATAATGGCCTTCTGGTCACAATAGCAATTAGAGTTATTAATAGTTGGGCCTATTGAGAACCCAGATTGCTGAGGCAATATGCTGACTCTGTAAATCACTTAGAGAGGGCTGTAAAGTACTGTGAAGCGGTATATAAGTAAGTGCTATTGCTATTAAACTTGAGATACAATTTTTGGTCAGGAAAGTGATGCTTTTCATTTTCTACAACATTCTGTTTATTATATTTTAACAATGGATGGATGTCATAAAAATAATAAAAAGCAAAAAAGGTCCAAAATAAATCCTATCTCACAAAGTGTTTTTTTAAAAATTGGTCAACACATCCCCAAATCACTAACTTATCATTTTTTTTCTCCTTCCATTAAACCATGTCTGAAAAGTAGATTGCCTATGAATCTCAGAAACCTTCTCTCTGTTTCTCAAGCCTTTGCTGAATTTGGATGGTACAGCTGATCTACTTATCAGTTGTTCTCAGGACTCAGTCGTGAAACTTGGTCACCCTAAAATAAGCAGACACATGGGAATTTTGAGTAGAAATAATTGGCAGGCTTTTGCAGAATTTTGCATATAGTGAAAATCTCAAATTTATTACCCAACAAGATGACATTATAAGAAAATGCTGTTTAATAGGCAACTAATGAATTTACAGCTAGCAAATCCTGCCCTTGCTTCCAAAAGATGTGTTGAAGATGAATAATAAAGAAAGATGAAATAATTTGTGGTTTCAAATTCTTTTGGAAAGTAGTAAACCAATTTGAACAGCAACAAATGCAATATTTTGCAGCACTGGATTTTTGTTCCTAAGCTCATGAATTAAAACAATTCAAGGGAAACATTGCTGCATGCATTAAAAGGATTCTTTTTTTACCTTGAATCTCTCCCAGGGGAAGTGTTAGGTTCCTCTCAGGTGGGGTGTACCGTAAAGCAACTATTATTTCTCCTTTGTACTGCAGCCCAATTTCAGTGGCAATCTCCATCTAAAACAAGAAAGTAAAATAGAAGTAAGTCTTGCTTATTAATATTCTATTCACCTTCACTTTTAGAATATGTTGCACATTATTTTACAGTATACATAGGCACAGCAAATTAAAAGTGAAGTATACCAATGAAAATGAGCTTCAAATGACCAAACCTCTACTTCCTACACTCTGTGAGTTTCCAGCAAGGAAGTAGGTAGGTTTTTTTATTTCTTTAAAATTGTCATAAAATTGAGTTCAAGCCACTCAAAGTAAAGTTTTCCAATAGTTCTTTTATTCTTGTGTTATTCAAACAAAAAACAAGGCAAGCGTGCAATTAAGCTTAGATATAAAGTCTCTTTATATTTGTACTTGTCTAATTTCAAAGTTATCTTACTGCAATAAGCTATGCCCAACAAGGCTATTCAGATTACTATGCCCAACAAGGCTATTCAACTAATTGTGGCCAACAAGGCTACTCAAGTTGCTGTAAGTATTGCTACCCAACTAGGCATTCACACAATACTCACATACACTCTCAACACAGGTGATCAGATGGTATTAAGAATGGGCTGGGAAGCAGACTCAGAGCGTCTCCTGCTACTTGGCTGCCTCAGGAGTGAGAGGTAATAAAGAGACCAGGAGGCAGGCCAAAGCATCGTTAGCTTTGCTGTCCCATCTCCACTCTTGCAAAATGAAATGAAATGTCTTTTTTCTCTTTCCATGTGGACCTTTCAATCTGCAGTGGCTCCCTATATGAGTAAGCTGTCTGCAAGATGAGGAGAGCCAAGAAAAGGCAGCAAAGGAGAGCAAAGCAAGTGAGTGAACCTTTGCTTGCCAGCTTTATATCCCCTTGTTCCTGAGCAACACATCTAGAGGTCACAGAACGTAAATTTAAGAATAACAGACTGTAAAGATTAAGTTATTTTGACTACAGGTTGTTTAGAAAAGAAAGAAGATAGAGAGTGAGTACTGGAAATAGGTACTGCTCTCATATATTTTGTAAACAATCAGAAAGTTGAACAGGATAAGAAAAAAGAAAGAACACTGTGACCTTGGACAATATATATGTTTTGGACTTTGGACTTTTGGCTTGCTGGATGTTACACTGAGACTTTGGTTTATTTTGTGACATAAATTTATAAACCACAGCTGGTACTATTCCACTCTTTTTTTTTCTGCTGATGTATGCTTTGGGCCTTCTTTTGTTCCAGTTCTTTAGCTTGGCTTAATTTTGGAATGCTGATTTCTTTTTTCTTTTTCCTTCTTCCATTATTTTTTTCATCAATTATTTGGCTAATAAGTGGATATAAGTTGACATTTTTGATTTTTTAAATTATTTTTCTCTTTTGTTTTTTCCCCTCTTCTACTTAGAAGTGGATGGATTTGCACTTCTCTTTTGGATTTCTTTTTTTTTTTACATTATATTTTTTTGGTTTTTATACATTTCTCCCCTATCCTTTTTCTGGATTTATAGTTCTCCTGTTTTTGGATCTTTTATCTCCATCTTTTTTGGATAAAATTGGATTAAGGTAGAGAAGAACCTGAAGATTCTATTATTCACTTCTATTTTTCTTGGACTTTTGTGAGTGGATTATAATTAATTAGATATGAGAAGGAAAACTGCTACTGGATCATCGATTCCTACCTCCTCCTTCCTGAGCCCAGCTGGTCAATGATCCATCACAACAAGAGAAAGAAGGGGAAAAAAGAAGGTTCAATGTAAGAAATAAAGTTAATGTTCCAAGCAATACAAGACCAAGGAAAGCGTATAGATGATAGAATTGGAAAGATGGAAGAAAAGATGGAAGAAAATATACAACAAATGATAATGGCATATGGAGAAAAAATACAGAAGATGGAAGAAAGAGGTGATAAAACATAAGAAAGTAGGAGAAATAGGTAACAGACTGACTATGGTTGAACATGAAAAAGGGAAAGTGTCAGCCTCAAGATCTCTTCGGGTACCCTAATTGCTATCTATCTCATTTATTTCTCCCTTATTTTCTCTACTGCTAGGCTTATTTTCTTTTGGCTGTCATTAGCAATGGGGGGAGGGGTAATTGTGGGGGGGAAGAGAGCTGGAGGTGTTTTGCATTCTTTTACTGTGGGCAGAAAAAGGAGGGGGTATATGATTTCTTCTTTTCAACTTTCCATTTCCTTGCTAGCCTCTATCCCTTTTTGCGCAGCTGCGAAGTCTTATCAAAATATGTCAAGGTCAACGGACAGAGGCCTCATCACCACCTGAAGATGCCCACATGATCATATTCAGAACTTTTAATTGGAAGAGACTTCTGGACTTCGGGGGGTGGGAACAATTCCATTTCTTTGTATGTGTGATCTGCGCGCCAAATTCTCAGTTTCGGAATTCCATTTGTAGCTTCCTTTTCATTCTCCAGTAAAAGGATAACTTTGCTCTGATCCATGGAGTCTGAGTATTTCTTTCTTGGATTTTGAAAGGAGCACACATTGACAGAAAGATTCAATACTCTGGGAGATGGATAAGGCTGATTTCTATTTAAGATTTCAAAATATTGAGGAAGAAAAAGGAGAAAACCTTGTAGAAATTATAACAGAAATTTTGGCAGGAGCTTTGGAGATAACTAAAGAAAAAATGATGGATGGAATGGATGAAATATACTATGTGATGAGAAATAAATTACCTATAGAAGTACATGTGAGATTTACCAAGAAAACAATGAGAACAGAGATACTACAGAAAGCAAAAGATGACCCTTTGAAGTATAAGGGAAAGGAATTCACAGCTTTGAAACAAATACCAAGGAAAGTGAGAGAGTTAAGAAGAGAATATCAATTCCTGACAAAGACTTTGAGAAAGAAGTGAATTACAGATGGTTGATTCCTGAAGGCTTGATGTTTATTTGGCAAGAACAAAGACATAGAATAGACTCAGTTGAGAGAGCAGAATTATTTTACAATGAATATTTTAGAGGAGCAGAAGATGAGAGAGCAAGAGAAGAGGAACTTAAAATACGAGCAGAGATGATAAAGGAAATGGAGAAGGAAAAAGGAGAGGAGAGAGGACAGGAAGAGGGAGCAGTAGGTGGCAAAATGGCAATCAAAGAACCAAGAGAACAAAGAACAACAAGAGCAATAAATACATATAATACATAAATACATATAAAGTATAAATAATGGAAGAGGAAAACAAACTAATCTCTATAAATATAAACAGACTAAATTCAGCTATCAAAAGGAAAAAGATATTCCATAAATTAGAAAAATTAAAGATGGACGCAATTTCTTTGCAAGAAGTACATATTAAAAAACAGTATGCACATTTGTTGAATTGTCCTAGAATTGGTAATTTATACACATCATTGGCACAACAAAATGAAAGAGGAGTTGTTTTATATATTAAAAATACAATTAAAGCCAAGCTAATTTATACAGATGAAGAAGGAAGAATATTGATGGTTGAAATAACAGATGCTCAAAGGTACTTTTAAGTGCAATATATGGACCAAGTAATAAGCAAGATGAGTTTTAAAAGAAATTACACAATAAAATAATTGAATTGGAATATGATAAAATATGTATTCTTGGAGACTTTAATGCGATTGTAGATTCAGAACTGGACTACAGAAAATAAATAAGAAAAATAGAAGAACATTACCAAAATCGTTCCTTAAGATGGTAGAGGAGTTGGGGTTTGCTTGGCTTCGGCAGTGGTAGGGATTTGCGACACTGCGCGATCCCTGCTGTGCTCGCTGCCGAGGTGCCTCCGATCCATTTGGATTTGGAGGATATAGCTGCCCCGTAGAGGCAGCTGCAGACAGGGGAGACCCGGACAGGGGTTTGGGGGTGTCGCAGACCCCCTCCCCAGCCAGAAAACCCCCCTTTTCCCAAGGCAGAGGAGCGGCGGTCAGCAATGGCCGCCACAAAGAAGCCTGCAGCTGGACAAGATTGTGCAGGAGGAAGAAAGTCGGAAGAGTCGTGAAAAAGTGAAAGTGGTTTTTGCTGACCGGGATAAAGTAAGAGAAAGTACCCTTTCTTTGCCAAAGATAAATTGTTTCCAGAGAGATTCACAAGCGGCGAATGGAATTTTAAAAGGAAAAGTTTTTTTCTTTTCTTTTCACTCTCCTTTCTAATGTGACAGCAGCTGGAACTATAAGAGAAATCGGAAAACCTGCATTGGAGGTAATTAAATGCTGAAGGGATAAGGATTTCTGAACATTTAAAAAAAAACACCTTTTTTGCTGTGAGTGGGAAGGGAGAGGAAAAAAAATTGGAGCAGAATTTGAAAATAAGGAGAAGATTGCCTAGAACTTTAAAGAGTTATTAAACATTAATAAGACTTCTAAAAGATATATTTTAAATGGAACTTTGTGACTAAATAGTAACCTCAGAAATAGAAAGTGAAGAAAGGAGAAAGTATTAAAGGAAACAGCTTATTTGGATTATTTGGTGATCTTGGAATTTCTGAGAACTATCTTTGATTAAAAGCACTTGGGTGGTTGTTTGGAAAAACTTTTTCTCTCTACAATAGCATCACTTGTGGATGAATTGAAATTTGAATATCAAAAATACAAAAAAGAAGAAGGGAAGGATTCTCTTGGCACTTTCTTTCAATTTTTAGAAATGGCGGTTTGTACTTATGAAAAGCTGACTGTGCAACGGGACGACTGGGATAAAGAAGAAGCCATTTTTGATGAACAGGTGACTCTATTTGGGGAAGGAAAGGAGAAAGAGGAAAAGGAAAAGGGGAGTTTAAGACTTGGAAAAACAACCAAAAAAGAGAAAAATAAGGTGAAAAGTGGATACTATGTTAGAAAACAACAGAAAGGAGGAAAGCGGAAGAAGAAAAGGGAGGTGGAGAGACAAGGGGGTAAAAAGGGCAAGGAGAAGAATAAGCAAGGGAGAAAGGAAGGGATGAGAAGCCTCAATGGTGGGGAGCAAGATGCAAAGAAACAAAATTCTTTTAGAGATAATGGGTAAACTTTATTGAAAAAGGGATTCTGGAAAGGTACATAAGATCGTATTTTTATATTTGTATTGAG